CTTGCAGGAGTGTCTGTCCGGGGTGGTGTTGGGGGGGTGTCCAGGCAGCACCAGGGCAGTTTGCACGGTGGGGGTCCATCCAGGACCGGAGTTAGCGCAGGGTTGGCCCTTCGCAAAGGGCTTGTGCAGGGGGGGCCGCCTGGAGCAGCCCCAGTGCTGGGGGGGGTCTGTCCCCCATCCCTTACCTGCACGCAGGGTGGGGGTCCATCCAGGACCGGAGTTAGCGCAGGGTTGGCCCTTCGCAAAGGGCTTGTGCAGGGGGGGCCGCCTGGAGCAGCCCCAGTGCTGGGGGGGGTCTGTCCCCCATCCCTTACCTGCACGCAGGGAGATGGCCCCGGTGACACGGGGTGTCGGTGCCCCGCGGGTGCGACAGCTCCGGGGTGGGGAGTTGCACTGTCCAGCGTTGGTTTGGTGTTGGTTCCCCCCCCCCTTAACGCCACGTGCGCCCACAGGGACCCCGACAGCGTGGTGCTGTGCCTGCTGGCCACCGACGAGGAGGACGAAGGTGACATCGCCCTGCAGATCCACTTCACCCTCATCCAGGCCTTCTGCTGCGACAACGACATCCACATCCTGCGCGTCTCGGGCATGCAGCGCCTGGCCGCCATCCTGGGCGAGCCCGAGCCGGGAGCCGAGCCCCGCGACCTCCACTGCCTCTTAGTCACGGTGAGTGGGACGGTGATGCACGGCCACGCACCGGCGGCCCCGTGATTCACGCTGGGCACCGTGCCAAGGGTGGGGACGACGGAGGGGAGACATGGGACTCGGGGGGGGGCCCACGTGTCGGGGGCGCTAACCTCTGCTCCCCAGAACCCCCAACCCCCACACACGGACGCCTGGAAGAGCCAAGGGTTGGCGGAGGTGGCCAGTTACTGCGCCGAGAGCCGCGACAAGAATCAGTGGGTGCCGTACGTCTGTCTGCAGGAGCGCTGAGCCGATGCCCGGCTCTGTACCTAAGGAGGAGGAAAAAAAAAAAAATAAAACGGCAGGAAAGGGAAGGAGAAATGGCCAGTTAAAAAACACAAACCCAAACACCCACCGATTTTATTTTTCTTTTTAACCGGAGAGGAGAAGGGAGCAGCCCGGCCACACCGGTGGGCGTGGGAAGGAGGCGAGCCGCGGCCGGGCCGTGCCGGCAGCCCGGGGGGACGCTGGCCGGAGCATGCCGGAGCCGTGCCGAGGAGTTGCGCTTGGCCGTGGGGACCGTGGGACCACGCTGAGGAGCCCCGGGACGGGCGCTGCAGAGCGCGGGGAGGAGATGGAGACTATTTTGTTTTCTTTTTGGCATCTGTGACTCGACGGAGGCGAGGACTGCAGAGGGGCAGGATTTTTTTTGCAAACGAACTGCTTTTGCCAAGGGATAAATTATCGTCTGCGTTGATGGACTTGCAACACCAGTGTCAGTTTTTGCACTCAAGCCACTGGGAGACCCTGATCTGAATCTATTCCAGAGTCTATTCTTATACCGATTTAAGAAAAAAATATTATTTGCAATAAAATGTTTAAAGTCACAGGTGTCTGCCTCCCTCGGCTCTGCCGGAGCCGTTCCCACGGGGAGCGGGATCAGCTGCTCCC